GAATCCCAAAATAAAGATGTCTTAAGATGAACCACTTGAGACCTGGAGGACGCCTAGTGATCGGATCAGTGTTGGGAGATGACTCGTATAATTCTGGAAATCAGGTTGGTAATGTCACTTCCTAGAAGGGTGAATAACGGTCGAGGAAACACGGCTTTGTACTGTGTGAGAGTAGTGTCGAGAGTAGGTGTGCGCGCGGAGGGTACAGACGGCTCGCGCATGACGAGAGGTAATGTCCGCGAGGAGGAGTGTGACTGAACAGGCGAAAATCTTCGAAGAGTCATCGACGAATCCTCGACCGATTTTCACTCTGATTCCACTGTGATTTACACTCATTTAAACTCTTCCATTTTTACCGAAATATATGACAGAGAGAGACAGACATACAAGCCAAACTAGGGCGATTATAAGAGGGGTGGGGGAGGCAAGGCAAAGAAAACTGTCTTTCTTGTTTTTGTTTGTTAACTGCTGTTTTTGGCCGCAGTTCGCCTTGCGAATGTTTCACAAGAATGCTGGGTTGTGAACAAAACTTTCGCCCCAGACGTTTTGTTCACAACCCAGCATTCTTGTGAAACTGTCGCTTTCTTTCTCGAAATTCAACGCTTGAATAAAGAAAGTTCATTGATGCTAACTGGAGGTTTCCACCTGCAAAAAACCCATTGAACTCCATTAGAGGACCCCTCAATAGGTTTTTGACGAAGGGGATCGAAAGTTTTCGCGCAACACAATGCGTCGTAGGTCTCCTTAAAGCGAGAGATTACGATAAAGTCTGTGTGCAGCATGGAAGAATATGCACCAGTGTAAGCAGTAGCCAGAGGCCAAAGGAATCGAGATGTGGCCTTTTTGTGACTAAAGGTGCGCTCGTTGCAGCGCCCTGGGGCTGCCAATCCTTTCTGAGCTCCGCCTCCGCCTGTGCTCCGCCCCTCAGCAGATCGCTGTTCGATTATCATTCTGATAAGGTATGCCACTTCGAGCGCGTATCCAATAACTTTCTCATGGATATCCCTTATCCCTTATTACTTAAGAGCAGTGATTACGATAGATTCAAGAAGGTTCAAAGGAGACGTGGTGGTGCTCAATGGTACGCCAGTAGGTAAAAAAAGAAGAAATCCGTCAAGAAAACGCAAAATGGGACCCCCTTTTTGGCCGTTGGTTTTCACTCATGAACAGGTGACAGCTCAGAAAGCGGGCGTATGAACGAGTTCAGCGCAACGCGTTTGGATGGCA